AAAACCCCCTCAATTTTTTTAAAAACTTATTTTTGTATTTTCAATTTTCTGTTTTCTGTTTTTTTGTTTTTCTACACCACTCACCCACCCAAACCTCCCCCCCAAACCCCCACTCCCACTCCCACCACCAAAATATTTTTCAATTTACACATTTTAAGGTAAAAGACTTTTTTATGCAAGATGAGCATGGTGCTAAAACATGGGTCAAGTTGGGCGGGTTAGGTTATGACCCATTGTATAGCCCATCTTGACCCAACCCATCTTAGCCCAAGTACACTTTGGGTTGGGTTGGGCAATGACCCATTTATTGACCTAACCCATCCTGACTCACCCAAATTCAGCCCAACCCGCCAGTTTGCCACCCCAAAATATAATATTTCATAACAACAGTCCAATAGTTATTTGAATAAAACTTTCTTCAACCACTAGTCAGGGCAGAGCTATAATATTAGGTAAGGGTTCGAACGAATTCATTAGCTTTTGTTTAGACTCTATATTTGTATTACGAAATCCATTAATTATATATAAATATTTAATTGTGAACCTAGTAACTAAAATGAGCAACGGGTTCGGTGGCAACTACAAAACCTATAAACTTCAAAACCTGACTCCGTTTTTGCCACTAGTTTTGCTCTCCCCATCTCCTCTTCTCCAATATCTACATCACCTATTCTTAGTTGATTTCCTGGTGCTGCAGATATGAGGAAAGGCGCCAGCACACTGATAACTGTCCAGTTCCGAGCTTCACCTCTGTTTTCTTCTTGTGATTTCTTTTCCCAAAATTCTTCTGATATTCCAATCTTGCAGTACCTGCAGAAAGTAGATAAGATTATGAAAACCACTCTCAATTCTCATGCCAAAGAGTTACCATATAATAATACTAGTTTAAGATGACAACAATAAGAGGCAATTTCCACTGCTTTTGAAAGAGAACAAATGAAAGAACAATCAAAAACAGAAGCAAAGTGCTAACTTACCATCTTCCTTTAGATATAAGTACTGCCCAATTCTTTTGAATAACTTGTGTTGAGTTTCTTCCAGTTCCTCTAACTTTGCCTGCATTATGAAGTTACTATATATTAAGAAAAACAAGAAAACCATAACCGATTTTTCGTGCTGGCTGAAACATTTCGCATAATTTGTAACATAATCACTTGAAGTTCATAATTAAGAAGTACGGAACATAAAATATACTTCCTCCGTCCCACTTTATGTGAAGAAGTTCGGAGTACGAGCATCAAAGCACCAACTTTTGGTATAAATTCAGACATAATATTTTCAAGTTTTTGAAATAAAATTGACATATGCGGGAACTATGGAAAGGGACCATAAGCGGCATAGTTAAGAATTCGAACTGTTAGAAAAAGTTTGAAACAATCATATGTTTGATCCTTAGAAAGTACAACAAAGAAGGGCAGCCCAGTGCACAAGGCATCCTTCACGCAGGGGAAGGGCCGCATACCAAGGGGTGTGTGATGTAGACAACCTACCCTAATGCAAACATTAGTGGCTACTTCCACGGCTCAAACCCGTGACCTATAGGTCACATGGAGACAACTTTACCTTTGCTCCAAGGTTCCCCTTCTTTAAAAAGAATAATAGTATCACATAAAATGGGAGAAAGAAAGTAAAAAAGGTAAACCACCTCGTACAATTGTTTCCATTTGAATGTTCCATTCCTTAGCTTCATGTCTTGGACAACCTGATTTGTGCTTTTTTCACCAAACTGAATCTTGTAAAATCTCTTCCAGAGTTTATTAGTTACTGGACTAAGATCTCTTCCCTGAATTTAGCCGAAAGTCGAGCAGTGAATCAAACATGATGTGTAATGTTGAAAAAGAGGAAGAAGCTAAAGCAGTGTAATTTCTTACTTGTATTGAATTCTCTACATGCGTCAACTGCTCAAGAGAACAGTGAGGCAAAATACGCTGAAGAAGATGAAACTCTGTTTCACCAACATCTCCAAGAAATCCAACATTATCTATTGCCTTTTGAACACATAAATCTACTAAAGAAGGAGCCATATGCATCATTGTCATACGTCTTTGGTGTTGGATTTCCAGTCGATTTGACTGTCTTAGACCTTGGTAAATTAAGCTGATCAGCTAAAGAAAAGAAATGTAAAATCTAAATCGTAAAAATAGTACAAAAGATAACAACACATCCCCAGTGTAAATATTCTATTACACTTCCCTTAGGAACTTAAACAGCGGAAAGATACAACTGTAGCATAACCTTTAGGCTTTAAGTACTGAACAGCTTTTACTATTTCTTCAATCTCAAGTTTCTTGTCACTATTATTAGTTATTTTTACATATTACAAGTCATGATTTGTATATAATTTTCACATTAATTTCAAAATAATTAAGAAATGGTGTGTCACGGCCCAATCTAAGGACGTGACTGGCCCTTAGGGAACAGGCTCCGCGAGCAAGCCTAGTTACCAGAGATTTCATTTTTTTCCTTAAAAAGATGGACAAATTTTCCTTAATTCTAGGAATACTGAAATTTTCCAGTCTCAGCTAAATCATACAACACAACAAGCGCCAATCAAAACAAGTCACAACTACTATTAACCATATGTTTATAACACAATAATACAGAAAGTTTAAGGCATACTTATACATCTTATGATAATCAAAATATTCATGCAATTAACTAATGGAGCAACTTTAAGAGTTCAAAGAAAATATAATAACAAATGAGTAACTCTCTTTGCCCAGACGAACTAATGCAGGGACACCTGTACTGAAATTTGGGGAACCAAAATTAGGGAGGTTCTCGTTGGTGTCAGGGATTCCAGGGATTAAGAGGATACCAGGGATTCCAGTTCTATATATATTCATATCATGAAACAAACTTCAGCAAAATGCTTGCAACGGTAGATACATTTCAAGTAACGATAAGTAATTTCACCTTACGTGAAAAATCCGTATCTAGTAACAGTAAATATCTCAAGAAACGGTTTGGTAAATAAAATCAATATAGTTCAAAACTATTTCTAAATCATATAATGCAAAGAACTTGTTCCATATGCAATATTTCAAACCATATAACAAGGGGTTAAGCTAGTCAAATTCAAGTCAATGCAATGAAAGCATAAATCATGTCAGTAGCAGAAATACAAATCAGGGTAAGGTTTCATTCACCACGAACAATGTGTTCCACTTCCCCAACTATCTTATATCATCACAAAACCAATCTATGTGTCAACTTCACGAACTACCATCATAATCAATTCAACTCTGTCAAATTTAGTTAGTTCCTACGTGCCCGTTGCTCAAGATAGGACATTCCCCATTCATCAATTTAGGGCTACTCATTTCTTAGGTATTACAATCTCGTCATTATTTACTAACACCAAGTCTCTCCTATCTCACAATTCCCATGAATCCTCCCAATTCAAGTAACCCTAGTTTACAAATCCTCCAATTCTAAATCCTAAGGGTTTTTTATAACCGTAGTGTCTCGGGGTACTTGCTAGTGATACCTTCCACCAACACAGGTACTAAGTAATTCCGTTCACCAAGGTTTAGACAAATGGAAAGAAATGCTTAGTGTTTTTGCCTCAACTAGGATTTAAGCCTGAGATATCACGGTTCTCAACCCGCTTCCCCGCTTCATTGACCACTATGCTAGACCCCTAGGGTGCAATCCCTAAGTTTTTCCCTAATGACCAACAACAATTTTATAAACTTAGGGATAATGCGCCCGCGCCTCTACCCTTTTCCACGTAAATACCAGGCTTAGTTGGCATTGCGCATGGCTCAAACATGTGATCTAAGTCACAAGACCCTCAAACTTTGCTACATTCTAAACCCTAACTTTCTCAATTCAGTCTATATCTTGGTTGAATTTTCACTATGTCCAAATCCCAATTAACACAATTTAATTCAAACCACCAATAATACTAACTTTAAATTGAAATAAGAAGGCATTAATACCTTAAATTTTTCCTCCTCTCTCTTTTTCTCAATGTAAATTCTTATTTTGATAGCTTCGCAAAAACTTCGGGCTTTTTTTTTCTTCTTCATAAGCTTCGTTCATCACCCTTTAGAAATCTCTTATATAAATTCTTATATGTTGTTCTATTCGCGACATCGGCCGCTGTGTTATATTCTTTTGGGTATAATGACTAAGATACCCTTTACTAGCTAAAGATATTACATCAATGTCCATTTTATCAATTCTAATGGTGGATAAGTGGGAGAAATTCAAAAATAGCCAGATTTAAAAGTGGTCGTTCAAAAATAGCTCAATTTCAAAAGTAATCGAAATTTAGCCACTTTTCATATAAAGATAAATCTGAACGAAAACACTGTTCAAAATACGGAAAAATAATATACTGGAGTTCCAGTATAATATACCGGTCCAGCATAATATACTGGAGTGTGGAGCACCGGTGCTTCAGTCTCCAGTATATTATACTGGAGCCAGCAAAGTATACCGGTCCAGCATAATATGCTGGAAGTTCATACACAGGTGCACCGAACTCCAGTATATTATGCTGGACCGGTCTCTGTTGCAGCAAAATAGTGGCTATTTTTCATTGACTTGGTAAACGCTGACTATTTTTGAATGACCATTCCAAAAACTGGCTAGACCGTGCTATTTTTACTGGATAAGTGTGTCTATTCGTGGGCTTCATCCCACTATGTTTTTTGGGGAAGTGCACAATTACCCACTAATTAGAGCTGTATTTACTCTTAAGTCACTGTTTAAATATATTTACTCTTTTGCCAGCTCTTTAATAAATTTTTATCCATCCGGACGAAAATACCCCGTATTAGACGTGTTGTCCTTAACTTCATAAGTACTGTGTAAATATTAAAGATAAAGTGTCCTGTATTTGCACCTTCTGTTGTTAAACTTTAAGACATCATGTCCTTAACTTCACGAGTGATGTGTATATATTAAGGACAAAATGTCCTTAATATTTTAATAGAATAGTTGCTATTTTTTCTCAGCATTAAAATGCTAGATAAAACTAAATGCCACATTAAAAAATAGCTACCCCACGCCATTTCTAACTGTTTTTATGGGAAAGTTACACATTTCGATTTAGCAGTGGCCAAAAATATTTATATTTGTTAATAAATATATATAAATAGTATACTATATTATCTAATGACTAACATGTCCTTTATTAGTTAGAGTACAATCAGAGGCTGTTTGGTTTCCTTTTCACTCTATTTGTTCTATTTTATGTGGCTATCTATATTTCTTTATTAATCCGTTCAAAAAAATAGGCAACTTTTTATATTTAAAAATAATTTAATTTAAAAAATTTCATTTATCTTCAGTGACATATTACTATCTAAAATGTCATGAGAGATTCAAGACGATAAATTTTAAAAGTCTTTCTTTTTTGAATTTTATGCAAAGTCAAATTCACCACATAAATTAGAAGGAAAGGAATTACACCAGTAATTTTCATAAGATTATACTATGTCAATCATGCAAAAAAATAATGTCTTTAAAATTGTCTCAAGTCCCCATAACAGATCAAAGACCTTGAAAAAAGAATTTGCATTATAGTTTGATTGCCTGCTAAAGTCTTGATTCACAATATATGCAAAAATTTATAAAAAGAAGATGAATTTCATGAAAGTGAAGATGATGATAAAGATAAAGATAAGAAGCTTTACAAAGATAAAAATTAAAGATAATTGAAGGGCTAACTCTGACAGAGCACTTGAACATAAGAACAAGTTATATATGTATATAACTTTCCAGAAAATAAACAATATGAAGGGAATTTATGAAATACAACTTTCCAGAAAATAAAAAATTATGAAATAAATGTGTACATGAAGATGTTCAAAATTTATGCAAGCTAATTTACACCTAAGAAAAATGCTTTCAATAAGTTACAGTGTCCCAATTTTTTGAGAGTTCTTACATTGGCGCATATTTTTTATGCCAATCCTCCTTGAAAAAAATTCAGCAGTAGAAACTTCTGAACATATCAGTTTTGTGTCAAAAGTGGCACGAGCCAAGAAAGCTTGGCGGAACATTTGATATGGAATGGATGCATCTGTCTTCCTATTAGCACAGAGCTTTCCACCATAGCTATTTCGCGCGTGTCTATGAAATCATTAGGTTGATTAACTGCTGCAAGTGGAAGAACTCTCCCCCACAAATGTGCAAGAATTCACGACTAGCATGCCAATTCATCGGCTACTATAGGAGGAATAAAAGAGCAGCCTTGCAGTGTCTGCTCAAAGATATGGCCTACTTTAAGCAATTTCTCCTGCAGTCATTTTAGTAAGTAAAATATCAAGAACTTTAGCATGTAAAAGCGGGAAACAAACACCCACCCACCCACGCGCACGAGAACATGAACAAAGAATAGCATGAAGAGAAGGAAAAGAAAAGGACATATAAGACTAGAAACCATGTGAGGCAAGGTTCAAATGATTTGAGAATCTCTTCAAAACATAGACAAGGATATCCTTCACTGAACTCTAAAACTACTTGGTGTTCACATTAATTTCTAATCATTTTCTACTAATTCAGTTTTGCTTGCATTAAATTCGAACATTTGTACTATATTGTTTCAATTTCACCTTTCCTTGAGCTGAGGGCCTATCGGAAACAACCTCTCTACCTTCTCAAGGTAGGGGTAAGGTCCGCGTACACACTACCCTCCCCAGACCCCACTTGTGGGATTACAATGAGTTTGTTGTTGATTGTTGTTGTTGTTGTGCTACATGGTTCCAATTATTCTTTCCTATATTCCCGTAAGGAACTGAATGTATTCAGCACTACTTTTTAAGATGCTCATGTTTAACTCGATTCCAATTTCAAGCTAAGTAGCTGTACCATCCCTCTTTCCCCCTTGCTCTAACTTTTCTCAAAAGAGAGGTCTAAGTAAGTCAAAGTACCCCCACGCTCAAATATCCTGTTTTATCCTAAATACTGGAATACCAACTGGAAAAATCGGAGTACTGAGACCCACCTCTTCAAATGCAGCACCAATCATCTGAATACCAACGGGAAGGGCCGCAGAGCTGCTATCAACAAATCCACACGGGAGAACTAATGCTGGAAGACCAGCCAAGTTGACATTGACCTGCCGATGATAAAAAGAATCATCAACTAAAGAGATTAGAGAATAAACGAACGAGTGACATCATCAACCGACTAGAGGGGAAAAAAGTTCGAAAATTACCAAGAGAAATATAAGAAGCAACAAAACTACTTACAGTCATGATATCACCAGCATACATTGACAATGGATCGTTCTTCTTTTCACCTGTAAATGTCACATGTCGTAGTCAGAGTTAGTGTGGCCTTTCAATAGAAGGGTCTTACGGAATAAAAAGAAAGAATAGAAAAAGATATTTAAGCAAGACTGCAAAGTAGATACATCAGATGTAAAAGCAAAAAAAGAAGCATACCAATTTTGTAAGCCGCTGATGGTGCAGCAGGTGAAATCAAAATATCATTCTCCTCTAATGCTGCCCTGAAGTTTTCCCTTACCAAAGTCCTAACCTGGAATAGAATCACTCTTTAACTTCTCAAAGAATTAAATGAACATGAAAATACCAAAGCACTTGTAAATTGGGGTTACATAACTCATTAAAATATGAATTATCGAGTCTAATAGATGCATCGACCAAACATAATTGGTTCTAAATGCCACATACACACTCGATCAAAACTCAGCTTGATAAATTTTTGGAGTTAGAACTTCACATTCAGAAACTGACATGTAGATGGTCTTGTATAAGCATTTTTGCCACACACACAAAAAAAGTAATTTAAGAGGCTGAAATATTTACTTAGTTCTAATTGGCTTATATTAGTATTAATTATCTTGAGATGCATGAGAATATAAGAAAGTATTTGCACTTTCAACTTATATATAACTGAGGACTTGGAATATTCTGAGTGCATAGATGTACAACCTGCTGAGCTCGCTTGTAGTATGCATCATAATAACCAGCAGATAGAGCATATGTTCCCATTAGGATTCTCATTTTCACCTGTAAAGACATTTAATACACTCAGTCCAATAGTGTTGTCAAAAGTCACCTCATTCATGGAGAAGGGAAAGCAGGAGATCCTTTGTGATGTAACTAGAAAGCTACTTTACACAGAAAATTTTTGTTCCTTGGTACCTCAGAACCAAAGCCTCCAGCACGAGATTCCCCATAAAGGGAGTTTAACTCATCGGCAACAACTTGTTTGCCATACCTGCATTTTGACATCACATGAAGTTACGCTAGCTCCGATGTAATACTTCTAATCGTACGTAAACTACTTTCTGCAGAATTTCTCCGAAGCTTATGTTTGGGTCTTCACCATGAATTTTTGGGTTTTAACATTTTGAAAGCTTATCATTACTAATGTCAGGCAGTCTCCGAGATTATAACTTCTCTTTCTAAATTATGGTTGGTATCCACCTATTCTCTTAGCAAAATGGCAATAAATTCTTAGTTCTTGCGACTGGTATGCAGTAATTAAAAAGAATATATCCGTTCGGCACTCCCACTACTTTCTGCTCTTTTAAATGGTAAGACTAACGAGATACTTAGTTACTCTCCATCAATTTGGCTTCCAAAACAGAGGATTAGAGCTGAGGAATCCTAAAAGATATCTAAAAATTGAGGATTGAAAATAGTACTGCCGTTATGTATTTCTATTTGTTCCGAGGAATGGAAAGGGAACTTCAGATGGAAAAAGAATTCTTTAATGCATCACCTGATACCATCGTAACGGGACAAATTTGAAGAAGATTCAGAAGAAGCAAGGATATAGTAAGCTGGCAATCCTAGAGAGAAGGATGGCAATGAGACCTGCAAAAGTAAAAATTAACAACTAATTTTAAATAAGGAACGCCAAAGAATATAGTAACTCAACATGAGGTTCATAACTACCGAAAAAATGAAGAATACCTCGGTGACAGTGCATCCTAGTTCTTCAAGATGACTAGCAGCACCACGGATTGAAGTAATTACTTCCGGGTCAACTCCATCTTCAATGGTTTCTCGGATCAGACCAACTCTCAATCCTTTCAGAGGTTTGGAGTCCAAATGATCTCTCGCAATACATTGGGAAGCAA